TGGATGAGGCTTGGGCGACCTGACCCAACGTTAAAGCTGTGCTTTAGTGGGCGTTTGGTCAATGAGGTCCGTTCCAGCCTACGTTATTCTATAGATCATTGCGTGAAGGGAAAGTTAAGAGCAAGATGAGAATGATCTGTGTGTTGTAACTGCAAATGGCTATAATCCTGATTAGACTATTAATAAGTTACAGCAACTTCAGGAGCATGGTTACAAAGTCAAATCATTTGGAAGTGGAGAGGAAATGACTTAACATTGTTCCTCTTTTTTTTTTTAACAAGTAGTGAAAGAGTTTGCCTTCTGAACTCAAGGCCATGCTCTGACCTGAGGAAACCTCTATAGGCTTGTGGTGGGAGACTGCTCTAAGTGGTTTAGTGCTGTATTTAAATCTACATTTTATCTCTTTCTGATTGCACTGATGGCCATGGGTCAGCCTCAGAACTTGCTTGAACTAGTAAACAATTAGCAGGTTCAAAGCCATATATTGCTGGTGTTAAAATGTATATATACATATGTAAATGAAACCAGTGTTGTAATTAATGCTCTGCTTCTGTTTTTTCTATGTAACAAAATGAAAAAGAAGTAAAAGAGTTTTTAAACTTTCCATTTTAGGCACTTTTGTCACTCATTTTTGCTTCCAGAGACCTTATCAGGAATGATTTGTTTGTTTAATGACTTAAATATTTTTCTTTGTTAACCCTTCCTGTGTTCAAACCACATACGTTTTTGCTGTGCTGTTTTTAATGTTAAAGTGATTTTTCTGCTTCTTCAGGGCTTGTTTTTATTGTGACAGCTCTCAGTTGTATATAGCCTGTGTGTGCAATTTGCAAGGGATACTGCTTTATGCATTTATTTGTTTTTGCTTTATGGTCAGTCTCCTTGAAGCACATTTGCTATTAGTTGTGCCATCATCTCAAACCTATAAACAGTGACAGTGCATGGCAGCTAGTACAATCAAGTCCTGAAGGATAGGGCAAGGTGTACGTGGTACCAGTATAAAAAGGAGGATGGATGTGGTGTCAGTTGAAATAAAAAGCTGTTTGCTTTTGAAAGCTGCTTTCTTGCAGATGGTTTCTATCAGCGAACTCTTAACGCATTAAAGCAATGCATTTTGCTGGCGTTACTTTTATTGTTAAAACTACAAGAGTGGTAGGAAATCATCACTGTCATCGCATGGGGACTGCAGTCCCCATGTCACTGGTGGCCCAGAGGGAATAAGGTATGGTCTGGACTGTCCTGTAGGTTTTGCATGGTAGCAGTATGGTCGGGAACGGCTGAGTGAGAGTGGCTCCTTGGGGAAGAGGAAGATGAAGAAAGGAAAAACAACAGCAGCAAAGTGGTTGCAGAGCCATCCCAGGCTGTTGGACCTCCCTCGACTGGGAGCCAGGGAGGTCTGTCCTGTCTCAGAGCATGTCTGAAATCACAAACCACACCTTTGCAGTTAACAGGATCCACTGGACGGGCCACCTGCACTGATCGCAGGGTTTGAACGCTGCCAGAGTAATAAAAGAATATAAAGAAAATAGACTTGTTTAAACAAAAAAAACCCAGCCTCCACCCCACTTTTCCACTGGCCCTTGTTTTACCCACTGGAGATGTGCATTTCAAGAGAGGCTCTAGGGCTCTCTGCTCCTGCCTTGTGTGGTCAACTGATCCCATCACTGGGATCCCAATCTTCACTGAGACACCAGACCCACTCCCTGGCCCCTAAGGATTCAAATACCAGCACTGCACGTTTTGCTTTCAAAGTAGCAGGTTTTGTTTGCATGCTCGTCTTAAGATGATCTGGAAAACAAAACACCTTTCAGTTGTTCCATTGTGCACCGCTGGAGTTGCTGCTTCTTGCCTTTACTTTTCCCTGTGTATTGAATTGAAATGGCACCATCCAGATTCAGACCACACGTGCACCTTTCTGTTGAGGTATAGTCACCCACAGTGAGGAGCTCATGGGTGTTGTGTCACCTCTTACAACTGCATTAATATGGGACAGTCATTTTAAGGGTGTGAGAAGGACTCTTACGGTGCTGTTTGTAGTCCTTCTATAAAATGATTGAATTTTGCTAGGATTGGAGGAAGGCTGTTCATTTGTGGTTTGTTGTTTTTTTTTTTTTTCATGGAATCTAATTTCCACTTTGAAACCTATGATATTTAAAATGATTGTATTTTTATGAGAATTTTTTGTTTACAACTTTGACGTATGTTCTACCCATAGTGATGGTGCAGAGCATATAGTTTTATCTTTTCCTTACTGCCAGGAGTGAGTTGTGATTGCATGGATCATGTCTATGTAATAGGTGGAAAAATTCATTTGAATTATTTGCCTGCCCATGTGGTGTGAAATCTGCTTGCATTTGTTGCTGGATTTAAATTTACCATTTATTTCAGATATTCTCTGTTGACAGTTAAGTGCGTTTTGAAGAAGTTACACAGTCACTTGAGAGAAAAGTGCTCCCTTCTCAATGTAAGATTAAAATTTTATAGTGGAATATGCACCTTTTTAAGAATGAAATAAACTTAATCCTTCTTTCCTTGTGCAAACAAATTCCCAGTGTGTTGCAATCATTTACAATGACTGATCATGAGAGGAGGCTTGAATTTTTTTTTTTTTTTAAAAAAGCTGGAACCTTGCATATTCCTTCGCAGTGCGGGCTATGTCCTAAAACTAATCCTGTCTTCAATTGTTTGTTGTGTCTTATATGATCACAGGCCTCCTTTCATAAAAACAGTGTCTTGGTGAGAAGTGCAACAAAAGTGTCAAGTAAAACAGTCGTGAAAATTGTAGTAATATTTTTCTGTATTGCTTTGGAGTGCGACGGTGCGTGGGCAGCTCAGCAGCACTGACAAAGCAAATTATATGCAATGGTTGCCAGGTTAATCTGAACATCTTTAGTACTAAACTTCCATGATTTTGTTATAATTTTCTTATTCAAGTCATCCATTTCACTCAAACTTCACTGTAGCCAAAGGCCATGCCTGAGCCTTTGTCCAATAGGCTGGCAGAGCTCTGGCCCCGGGTCCTTGATTTTTAGAATGGGGGGAAAGGTCCTAAAGAGTATGAAACTCACTTGTTTGATCAAACTGGACTTCACAAAGTGCTGACACTAGTGTCTAGCAGGAAGGTAGATGAAACAGGTTAGAAACATCATAAACGTGAGTATCAAAATTTACTTTGTTTTGAATTTGTATTTGTATGCATTGTAATCAGGAGATGAATAATTTATTAAAGCATTTGATCGTTTTAATTTTAAGCGACTTTTGAATTAGCAAACAAGTAAGGAACCGATGAAACATTGCAAATTCAAATTAGAGAATTCCTCAGTTGGGTCTTCTGGTTTTGCTCTGTCGGTATTTTTTGTAGTAAACGTATAGTAATAAAAGTGTTCCTAAGAAGGTACTCAGATGTCATATAATATTTAAGTATTTCAGTTCTTTAATGAGTTTTAGATTCCAGTTCTACAATTCCCTTATATGATAAATTATTTTGTAGGTGGACATCTTTCTGATGTTTTTTAAAGGTCAGACTTGTGTAAAGATAACTCCGTATACTTACTGTATGTGTATAAACTGTTTCAACAGGTTTCTAATATCAGAAATTTTGGGAAGCTTCTTTGAAAACAACTTCTGTCAGAAGAATGGCATCATTTTCTCAACAAATTTGTGCATTGCTGCTGGCTTTAGCAGGATTCACCATTTTACTTATTACTACCATGTCCAACAGATGGAAAATTTCAGACACTGCAACAGGGCTGGTTACTACAGACTGGGTTTCTGAAGGTCTTTGGATGGACTGTGCGGTGAATGCTTTTGGATCAATACAGTGCAAGAAATTTCTCTACATGTTGAGTTCAGACAGTAAGTGTTCGTGGCGTATCAATAGAAAATCCAGGGATGTAGTTTTATTTCTTCTTTTGGGACAGCAGGTTAGTGCAGTTAGATGGCACATACTGCGGTCATCACAGGGGGTCTAGTGTGGACAGGAGTTGTGCTGTCGTGCAGACAGGTGAAACAGTCCTAGTGAAACCCATGTGCTTCACCCTGCAATTCAGCTCAGTAACTGCTGTGGTTTTATTGCCACCTTTGTTGTGTTGACCTAGCGTTATGGGTGACATATGGTGAATCTAAGGATTTTTTTCATTGTTTGGAGGAAATAGCATCCCTTTACTCAGCCTAATTCTTAACTACAAGCAGATCACTGGTGCTTCTTTGTGCTTTGGTGTGAGACAAGACTTCTTAGATATTCCAGAACTTGTTTGATACCTTGTGCTGAATCCATGTATTTGTTTTGGAATTTATCCGAGGTGGCCTGCTTAAATTAAAATGCATCTGTGCAACTGATGCTTTTGTGTTTTCTGAGACTGAAAATTATTTGTTTGGATTGTTCTGGCTTTAAAAAGTATCTTTCTGTAAACACTTTTTATGGTAAAGGACTAGGAAGGACTGACATTGCAATTCTTTCCTCAGAAAACTGAATGTAGAAGCAGTAACAGTATAGCCTTTGAAAACTGGTATTTTGTTAAGCTTTCTGTCTTAAGCAGAACTCTCTGCTTATTCTTTTACAACTTCCAGTATTGTGCAGTCACTTTATGAGTTATGTCATGGAGTCATTTCTTCAAGCCTTCCTGCTTTATAGATCCCTGATCACTGTCATTGATCTTTGTCTGGACTCTTTCTAGCTGATTTATTCTTGATGCGCAGTGCTTAAAACTTACAAATATCATATCTACTATGACCATTTGTTTTTCTTGACACAGACATGGACTCCACTGAAGTCAGTGCTGACTGACTGTAAGGCAGATCTCTAAAATGTGAAAGTTTAGCTCTCAAGAATTAAGTCTCAAGATTCAGCATATTCATGATTCTTCCTCAGGGCCCTGGCTTTGGTGTCCTCACCTGCTTTCGTAATGACGGTGCCAGAGTTTAAGAATAAGTATCAGCATCCTGAGGCCAGAATTTGTAGCATCAAAAGGAGGCTAATTATATGCTTCCAAGCATTTAAAAACCACTACTCATTGTATCAGAGACGATGTCAGCTTTTCGTACCATTCTGATACCTGTTTGGCTCCTCTCTAAGACTTCCTCTTTGTAGACATCAGGGTCCTTAAGTTTCATTTAGAAACTTAGATATGATTTCTAGAAATTAAAGTGATAAGATGGGGCCAACAATCCTTCAGTTCTCGCATGTGGTAGCAAGATGGCATGGATGCTTATGATGGTGTGGCAGCTCTGCCTTGACTCATGTAACAGGGAGAAACAGATGTTTCAGCCCTGTTAGGAGACAAGCAGAGTCAATGTGGAAAAGCCTTTTTTTTAAAAAATGCAGTTTCATTGCACCCAACATGGAAAGAAAATATTCCCCAGGAACAGAAGGGTTCCAGGTGAGCTGAAGCAGTCACCTCCTAAGGGTTCTCTTCCCTTCCTTCCCGTGGCCCTCATAATTGGAAGGAAGGACCCCTGGTTGGCAAGGCTCGGTGGATCTTCTTCAGCTGTTCAAAGAACTGCGTGGTCCCGTGTCTGTCTCAGGGCTGTTTCTCTTTTTACAGTGCTCAGTCAGCGTTCCTGGGTCTTGAAACAAATCTGCAGAAATGATCAAAAGGGTGCAGCTCATGTTGATTAAACATTTACGGTGTTAGTATTTTCAGTATCTTTTTCCCAACTGTATTGGCGGATCTGATTTTAAAAAATACTATTTCTGCCTGTAAACTCTCTCTCAATCACATTACATGGAAATATGCTTTGTTTGGAGAATATCAGAGGGGTTAGGAGCGATTTCTCTCCTTGGTCATATATTGCTGTGGTCATATATGGTCATATCTTAGCATATCTATGTTGGCGTTTTACTTACATTAGGAGTACACTTTTATAATGAATTTTCCAGTTATTCTCATTTACTGCCCTTGGTTTGCATTGCACAGTGGTTTCCTTGTGGATGAAGCAAAGCAAGAAGATGTGCTCCAGGAACGTGCTTCCAGCCATTGACGGGCTTTCAGTTCACCCGGCTGTGTTAGAGCAAGTCTGAAGGAAAACGCTGAAGCTGTAGATGGTGTTGATGTGAAGCTATAGCAACACCAACTCTTTCACGCTGCTGCTGCAGAGCCTCCTGCAGAGCAGCATTTGCTGTTGTGTCCATTGCTTAGCAAACCATAATCTATGAAAGTCAGTGGAGAATAACCCTGTGTTCTTCAATGCCATTGCAGACTGGTTTACTTAAGGGTATGATTAAAACACCTTGTGCCATATAGGAAAAACTCATGCATTCCAAGTCTGCAGTTTAATTTTTTCTGAGGTTTTTTTTTTGTGTGCTTTATGACTGCCTGTTGAAATAGCTTTCTTAATTAGGAAGAGATTTTTTTTAAAAAAATGAAATTCCTAAAAAAATTTTTATCCTTGGTAGCAATATAAAATCTGGGGACACTTGATTCAAGGTCCCAACTAAACTCAACTTCCAAAGTTCTGTCGACAGAAATGATCACTGAGGTCACCGGAGTAGCACCTGTGCATGGATAAACTAATCTGAAACTCTTTGAAGGGCTTTTAATGGGATGCAGATACTCCAGTATGTTCCAGTATGTACAGTGTATCCTTTTTACTATGCCATCGTTTTTCAAATTGCAGTGACTTGGCAGAAGGAGGGAATTCTGTAAAAGTCACCCTGAGAAGATAAATTCCAACCAACCTACAGCATCAGCTCAAAGTGACCAGTGAATTTTGAAAAAAAACCCTCAGATATCTGTCATGGGCAAGTTGTGACGCTCTCAATGGCTAATCCTTCTGGTAGTCTCTTTGTAAATGCCATGAATCTGTTACTGTGTTGCATCACAGCAGGATTATTTTATGAAGAAACTCTGACTCCATTTCCTGGAGATAAAAGCAGATTATCACGGCAAGAGATGGTTAATCTCATTTGGACACACAAGCAGTTTCAGGTATTAACATTAATGGGTCACATGAATTGAGTCTATGATTTTTGTCAAGAACAGAAGTGAGTAAACCCAGTTTAACGTACTTGTGCTTTTCCTAGAATAGCTTTTTTAAATAGTAAGATGTTCTGACAAATAGATGCAATCAGCTGACACATATTCCTTTTCATAAAGCCATTTTCCTTCATAGTTTTATTCCTTTTAAGATAGATCTGTCACACTGGCTCATTCATGCCCTTATATTTAATTTCCATGAAACATACATTACTACAATTGTATGCCAGTGTAAGTGGGACTATTTTTAAGATAGAATGTGTTTAACTATAAATCAATAGACTGTAAAATATTAATGGAAATTACTCATCCACAGACTTATCTTCCTGAAAGAAGCTGGCAGTACTGTTACTGTGGATTACTTATGGCCATAACTCCAAAAAATGAACTAAATTTTCTAGCAACAGAAGAAAGTTCCTGTTCTCAAGCTTTTTTATGCTTGAGTCATCAAGAAAATAACACAGTAAAGCTTTTTGATTTGAGATCAATAATGAAATTATAAACAATTTTAATTCTGTGTAAACCCTAGTTGACTTCAGAGGAGAGACAGAAATAAAATATTTGCCAATATTATCAATCTTACAAGATATTTTGTAAAATACTGATTGAACTTTCTAGGCCGAGACTAAGAATAGGCTCATTTTGTCACTTCTCATTAGAAATTAATAGAATTAATATTGTCATTTTTTAAAAAATGTTAATATCTTTATCATGAACTGCTCCCACTTCTTATTGTCATGCACTGTAAGCCTTATCTCTGGGGTTGAGCAAAGAGCAAAGGTAGCCTCATTTTGGAGTGAAACCCAGAGATAAAACAGCAAGGAGGCTTCTGAAAAGCTTCACTTGATTATAATCTAATTATAGGGGTATTTAACTGTTACTACTCACAAGCATGACTGCTGCATTGGAAATTGTTGGTCTTCTTTTGTGCTGGGTTGGGTGGGCAATTATTGGAGCTACTTTGCCGAATGATAGCTGGAAAGTCTCCAGTATCCATGGTAGTGTGATCACAACGTCTACATTTTTTGAAAACCTTTGGAAGAGTTGTGTACAAGACAGCACTGGAGTATCTACCTGCAGAGAATTTGACACTTTGCTTGCACTGCCTGGTATGTGACTTTGCACAGTCTTGTTTGCGTTGCTTAAAAATTTGTTGGGAAAAAGTAGAAAGGCTTTTGGTTTGGTAATCTGGTAGTACTGGAAAATAACTGGCTGAGAAGGACTTTGTGAGTTGAAGTAATAAAAAAATCTCTTAAGCAGCAGAATGTGTCAAGCACATTGGGAAAGGCTATAAAATAAGGCAAATGAAGTCGCTTGATCAAGCATTTATATAGACGTTTTAAATATGGTGTAATCTCTTTTCTAGCATCTTGTGGGAGGAATCAGTAGGAGACATTTTTAACACATCTTATGACAGTTCCATGTTTATTTGCAATTATGTATAGGCCTTCTTTTGCAGTACTTAATAGCTAATGTACCGTAGTTGGAGTTTTTTCATATAATAGATAAATACTATTTATAGCTAAGAAGTGGTAGTGGGTTTTGCGTCTTGAGAGTGAAAATTGTAGATAATGTAAGAAATACAGTGAGTGTATGTTATATATATTATAAGTTATATAATGTGTATATGTTATAAATAAAAACATTTGTCAGGACTTGTTAACTAATGTCCTGTTGGATGTGGTTCTAAGTACCAGGAAATTTAGGCTTGCTGGCTCCTGTACTCTGTATCAGTCTTCAGCAGAATTGTGGATTGTCCTCAAATGCTCAGCTAAGGCAATGTTCTGTGGATAGTAGGCACGTTTATAGACAATAAAGCTAATTTTTATTAATCTTGAATAATTCAGCAGGTAGATACTTTTCCCAGAAAAAAAATACCTTCCTACTTAGTTGAATCTACACTAGGAGGTGGCAAAACTAAATAGGTAGGAGGATACTCCTAATCTGAAGAATGTGTAACATAGGATTAGTGGGAATGAAGTATTATAATTCACTTTCTCTCTCAGTCTGAAATAAGCTGATGTTGTTGACCAGCTCTGACACTAGCGTAGCAATTCTCTGAAACTGTCTGTGTCCGGTACTTAGAGAATAATCTGTCCTTTATATCTTTTAGTGTTAGCTGACAATTGGTTTTAAAATCCATGTGTATATGAGGAGGAACATAGAGTCACAACCCTGTTTAAATTTACAGATCAGCAATAGCAGGATCATATCCGTCAGCCATTATCCTCTGCAGGGTGCTTATGTGAGTGTTCATGTATAAAGCACTTTGAGGGTTGGTTCATAACTTGCCACCACCAACTCCAGGCAGCATCTTGTCATTGATGTATTTACACGGTGTGTTGCCTCTGAGAGTGTTGTAGAGCTCCCATGTGTGCACATGTGGGCACTGGGGCCACATCAGGTTAGCATCCTGGAGCTGCTGCTAAAAAAGTGGGTTTTAAAGAAATTGGGGGGGGGGTGGTGTGTGCAGAAAAGAGCCTCATGTGTAGACGTGCTAAAGCAAAAGAGAAAGGAAGGCAAGCAACAGCAAGGCTCCTGGAGAATTGCAGATAACAACATGGAGTCAGGAAGGGACAAAATGGTAAATGAATAGACCAGACTCTGAAAGTGAATCTGTGAAGATTAAATTTGATCTGTTGAAGAGGAGATCGGTCACACTGTTGAGAAGATGGCAGTATATTTGATGGGTGTAAGAAGGGGAAGGGAAGTTTGCAGAATTGTAGAATAAAAAATGTTTTAGAAAGGAGAACTGAAAAAGAAACAATCTAGAAGACGCTGAATTGTCAAAAAAGTAGAGGACAGTTGGGCAAACCAGGAAATAGAAAGAAAAGGGGGGGTGATAGCAATGAGGGCTGAGCAAACAGTAAGACCTCCGAGAAATGTCTGTAGCATTTGCAGATATGAGCTAAGGTAGACTAAAAATTATCATGGTCAGTTTAGGTGTGTTTCAGATTGCTGTTGAGAAACTTAGCTGAAAGTGCTGCAGCAGAAGATGCCAGGGATTTGTGGAAGGAGGAGAAAAAAAAAAAAAAACCAACACCAAAAGTGTCTTTGTTACCCTTCATCATAAGGACCATAAAGATTTTCCATGAAGGTTTCCTTATTGGCAACTGAGCTATGTGGTTTACCTCTAGTTTTTTTTTTTTTTGTGCATGGGAAATATCAGTTCTTTTAAGCAGATTTAAAGCTTTTGAATTTAGCAAGCCATCAGCCCAAATCACAAATGTTTGAAGTGAGGATCTTTTTAAAAGCAATATTGAGTAAGAGTGAAACCATGGCTGGCTACTATGTATAGCTAGCATTATCTATCTAGTCACAATTTGATCAAACATTTGGCATAAAGCAATTAGTTATCTGCCAATGCTTGTTAAACTCTTTTTTTCCCCTTCTTTTTAAGGTTCCATAGGTGTTTCTTCCAATGGGATTTTGGGGATCATTTCTTATGATTCGTATTGATTGATAAAAATAAGCTGACACTGTATCTGGTTCAATAAGCTCATTTTTAAGATAAAGACAACAAAAAATTGAGCTTCCTGGGCTGTGAAGTAAGCTCCTCAGTTATGGCTGTTGAGATTATTGCGTTGTGATACAAAGAAGATATGGTATGAAATTTCTTTTGTTAAAATAATATGGCCATTGGCTTGAAAGCAGTTAGCCTTATGCTTGTGTGTTCTGGAAAGATACGGGGAGTCCCATCTAACACTGCAGGAGTCACCTGAAATGT